CAGAAAGCACTACTTTGAGGGGCCTATCAAGAGCTTACATGTGTCAAGATTGCGTAGAGAGGCAGTGAGCTGATGCTGGTGATGAGAAGAGTCACCAGCCTAAAGTCATGTGGACTGAAAACAGGTCATTCTGAGGGCCCTACCAAAAGACAATCCAGCACTTACGTGTGTGACAAGGGCGTAGAGAGGCAGCGAGGCGAGGCTGGTAACGAGGAGAGTGAGAAGAATGACTGCGAACTTGAGACCAGGGAGCCATGTGGGCGCGGAGGTGCACTGCTGGTGGTTTGCCAGAAGGTACTGTGGCGGGAGGAGGAAGGGAGTGAGGAGGCGGGAAGGAAGGGAACAGGGATGGGCGAGCCACCTGGGCTTTGAGATTGAGTAGGCACATGTGCGAGGGGGTTCATGTGCTGGTGGTTTGCCAGTAGGTACTGTGGGGGAGGATGGGAGAGCGGGAAAGGAGATGGAATGGAGTGGCAGGTGAAGAGAGGAAGAAGGGGGGGGGGGGGGGCGAGGGAAAGGGAATGACACTGAGGAGGCACGTCGGCGAGGAGGTGCATTGCTGGTGGTTTGCCAGTAGGTATTGTGGGGGGAGGAGGAAGGAAGTGAGGAGACGAAAAGGGAGAGGTGGGGGAGACGGGAGGCCTGGGGATGAGATCGTGTTTTGAGACGTCTCAAAACACGCTTACTTTCCCGCAGATTTTATATGGAGAAGTTTTTTGTGGGAGAGGTGGGGGAGAAGGGAGGCCTGGGGATGAGATCGAGGAACACTGTGGTTTAGGAGGTGCATTGTGGGTGGCTTATAAGTAGGAAACAATGGGAGAGAAGAGAAAAAGAAAAAGAAAAACAGGGAAACAGGGATGGAGAGGACAAGGGAGAGGGGAAAAGAGGAGAGTCAGACTAAGGGAGAAGTGGATAACGGGGGAAGGGATTGGAAAGAGGGCGATGGGGTGGGTGAAGACGGAGGGACAGCATGGTGGGGGGGGGAGAGGCATGGGTACGCATGCCAAGGATATGCATTACTGATTATGATGTCAACCATGTGTGCATGGCGTCATGCCATGCGTGCATGACACCACACCATACTATGCGTGCATGACACCATACCATACTATGCGTGCATGACACCATACCATACTATGCGTGCATGACACCATACCATACTATGCGTGCATGACACCATACCATACTATGCGTGCATGACACCATACCATACTATGCGTGCATGACACCATACCATACTATGCGTGCATGACACCATAACATACCACGCGTGCATGGCAACTCACCAAATAAAACATGAGGCTTCCCAAGGCATATGAGCTCTGTACATAAGCAAACGAGGGGAGAGGTGGGGTTGGACGGGAAAGGAGGAGGGACGGAGGGGTGGAGAGGAGAAGAGGAGAAGAGAAGGAATGTGACATGAAGCTTTTCAAGGCATTGAAGAGGATAGGCGAGAGAATAAAAATGAGGAAGGAGAGGATATTTGAGAAAACTGGAGAAAAAAAAAAAAAAAAAAAAAAAAAAAACAAGCAAAAACAAAAGCCGCACCAGAAAGAGCGCAAAATGCATGATGTGGAGCAGCAGGCGTGGGCGGTGGAACCAGAAGAGGGAGTTGCGTGGCTTTAAGTGCGCGCCTGTGGCTGCCCCCTTGACATGTGCGCTCTCCAGAGCTAGCTGAGCCATGATGAACTCAAGCTTCGTGCCCACTGCCAGGGATAGCTGGTTGGGGGTGAGGAAACGGGGAAGGGCAGTGGGGAAAGAGGGGGTGCTGTCTAATCAGTTGCTATGCCCTTTATTCACATGTGCGCTCTCCAGAGCCAGCTGAGCCATGACGAACTCAAGCTTCGCGCCCACTGCTAGGGATAAATGGTGAAGAAAGGGGGGAAATGGAAGGCGGGTGATAAGGAAATGAGGGGAACGGTGTTCAGTGCCAGCCTGTGGCTACTCCTTTGACATGTGCGCTCTCCAGAGCCAGCTGAGCCATGATGAACTCAAGCTTCGTGCCCACTGCCAGGGATACCTGGTGGGGTGGAGGGAGGGGTACTGTCATTACGTGTTATGCCCCACTTGACGTGTGCGCTCTCCAGAACAGCCTGGCATAATGAACTCAAGCTTCGTGCCCACTGCCAGGGATACCTGGTGGGGTGGAGGGAGGGGTACTGTCATTACGTGTTATGCCCCACTTGACGTGTGCGCTCTCCAGAACAGCCTGGCATAATGAACTCAAGCTTCGTTCCCACCGCCAGGGATAGCTGGTGGGGGCACGGGAATGGGGGAAACAAGGAGGAAAGCAGTCAGGGGAGGGCAGTGGGGGTACTGTCATTACGTGTTATGCCCCACTTGACGAGTGCGCTCTCCAGAGCCAGTTGTGCCATGATGAACTCAAGCTTCGTTCCCACCGCCAGGGATAGCTGGTGGGGGCACGCGAATGGGGGAAACAAGGAGGAAAGCAGTCAGGGGAGGGCAGTGGGGGTACTGTCATTACGTGTTATGCCCCACTTGACGAGTGCGCTCTCCAGAGCCAGTTGTGCCATGATGAACTCAAGCTTCGTTCCCACCGCCAGGGATAGCTGGTGGGGGCACGCGAGTGGGGGAAACAAGGAGGAAAGCAGTCAGGGGAGGGCAGTGGGGGAAGAGGGGGTACTGTCATTAGCCCCACTTGACGTGTGCACTCTCCAGAGCCAATTGTGCCATGATGAACTCAAGCTTCGTTCTCACCGCTAGGGATAGCTGGTGGTGAGAGGGGAAGAGAAGAGGGGCCGAGCTGACACCAACACTAACATTTTATTATTATTATTATTATTGTTATTATTATATGAAAAGTATACATCGAGATGAGCAAGCATATACCATCATAACGGTCGTAACCGCGCGTGAGGAACAGAGGGTGAGCTACTGTTCCAGATAAGATATCTAAGGGCGGGAAGTGCTTGCCCTCCTCCTGGACCACAGTGCGGCAAACGCACTTGTCCACTTCCAACTCATGCCAACCGTCTTGATCTTTCCCAACATGTTCTGCTCCTCCATAAAATTTCTCCGATGCCGTTTGTGACGAACCGTGCCAAACTTGTGGGTGTAGATTCGTGCATGTTGCCTGAATGCGAACTCAATCTTGTGGAGCACTTGATTCGTGCGAAACTTCTGACCGCGGAAAACAGCTTCGCACCTTTCAACCCACAGCTGATGGAATGTGATGGATGTGAGGGTTAGCTCTGGAAATGCTGAGCTGGACCCCGTTACACCAACACTAACATTAACACCAGCACTAACACTAACACTAACACCAACAGCAACACCAACAGCAACAGTAGCTTCAGGTGATTCTTACCAGAAAGCCGAGAACTGTTATGATGATTGAGTCGTCCCACACTGCCGTGATGACAATCAGGGGGGAGGGGGAGAAGGGGGGTGGGGGGTTGGGAACGGGGGTGTGGGGTAGAGCAAAAAGATGAGGAAGGCGAGGAAGAGGAGCAAAGGGAGGGGATTGAGGGATGCTTGATTGAGAGACGGAAGCATGGGAAGGCACGCACGAGGAGAGCATGGGATGGCACGAGGAGTGTGGGATGGCACGAGGAGTGTGGGATGGGATGAGGAGCATTTGATGGCACGAGGAGCATTTGATGGCACGAGGAGCATTTGATGGCACGAGGCGCATGGGATGGCATACTGGCTGTGCACGGCTTACTGACCATAGCTGGTGAGGAGACTTTTGAGCCGACTCAAAAGGATGGCATACTGGCTGTGCACGGCTTACTGCAGGGTGTTTCTGAGAATTCTCACGGCTCACGGCTTGAGAACACCCTGCAGCAGCATGGGATGCCATACTGGCTGTGCACGGCTTACTGACCATAGCTGGTGAGGAGAAATGATGGCCACGACAGTGAGCTAGATGTTTTGATTTTGACAATGACATACATGCCCATAGCCACGTGTAGAGAGGGTGTTTTTGAGACGTCTCAAAACACCCTCTCTACACGTGACTTTCGACAATGACATACATGCCCATAGCTCTAAGCCCATCCCAATATCTCTCTCTCACTGCCCACCCCACCCCACTCTCGCACTGCTGCTGGCTTACCGTAGCTGTTGACGAGAATGATGGCCACCACTGATAGCCAGATGTACCAACTGCGACAATGACATGCATGCACACACCCTGCCACTGCCGATCCAACCCTCTCGCTGCGCATCCCATCCCATCCCACCCTTTTATGGGTTACTGACCGTACCTGCTGACGAGAATGATGGCGACCACTGAGAGCCAGATGTACCAACTGCAACAGATCCAGATGTACACACATGCTCATAGCTCTAAGCTCATCCCTACTGGCCATCCCACCCCACTCTCTCACTGCCCATCCCAACCCGCTCTCTCACTGCTGCTGGCTTACCGTAGCTGCTGATGAGAATGATGGCCACCACTGAGAGTCAGATGTACCAACTGCAAGAATACAGAGGACGGAGAGTCAAGGCGAGTCAAGGCGGGTCAAGGCGGGTCAAGGCGAGTCAAGGCGAGTCAAGGCGGGTCAAGGCGAGTCAAGGCGGGTCAAGGCGAGTCAAGGCGGGTCAAGGTGAGTCAAGGGGAGTAAAAGGAAAGTCAAGGAGGGTCAAGGTGAGTCAAGGCGAGTCAAGTCCTTTTCCAGTGCCCGCAGCACACAGGCGTGGAAGTTGATTGAAGTCAAGGTGAGTCAAAGGCGAATCAATGCGAGTCAAGGGCACTCACTTGGTGCCGACCATGCTAATGAAGACCTTTTCCAGCGCCCGCAGCACACAGGCATGGAAGTTGAGGTCTAGGCGAGTCAAAACAATTCAAGGAAAGTCAAGGCAAGTCAACGTGGGTCAAGGGCACTCACTTGGTGCCGACCATGCTGATAAAGTCCTTTTCCAGCGCCCGCAGCACACAGGCGTGGAAGTTGAAGTCATGGGGGAGGCCGTGGTTCTGAAAGGTGGTTGTTGATTGGGAGGTGAGGAAAAGGGTAAGGGAGGAGAGGCACAGAAATATGCTTTGCAGAGCATCGAAGCAGCAGTGCATCGCGTGCAGCACACAGGCGAGGAATTTGAAGTCCCGGGGGAGGCCGCGGTTCTGTGAGGCGGCTGTGGCGGTTGTTGATTCGGAGGGGAGGGAAAGCGACAAGGGAGGAGAGGCACAGAGAGATGTTTTGCAGTGCAACAGCAGCAGTGCAACCCAGCACACACGCATCAATGTTGAAGTCCCTGGGGAGGCCATGGTTCTGCAAAGTGGTGGTGGCGGTGGCGGCGGTGGTGGAGGTGGTGGTGGTGGTGGTGGTGGTGGTGGTGGTGGTGGTGGTGGTGGTGGTGGTGGTGGTGGTGGTGGTGGTGGTGGTGGTGGTGGTGGTGGTGGTGGTGGTGGTGGTGGTGGTGGTGGTGGTGGTGGTGGTGGTGGTGGTGGTGGTGGTGGTGGTGGTGGTGGTGGTGGTTTGGCAGGAGGGGGAAGAGACACAGATCAGATTAAACAGTGACTCGGAGAAACAGCGCCTCACAGAAACAGCATCCCACAGAAACAGGGAGTTTCAGATCTCGGATTTTGAGATCAGGGATTCAGGATGAGTGCTTCTCACGTAGATGAATGCGAGGCGTAGCGTGGTGTAGTCGAGCTGCGTGATGGGCGACAGCATCTGCTGGGTGGCTGCTTTCTGGTGTGCGGTGGGTTGGGCTTTCAGACTTTTGGGTTTAGGGCTCGGGTTTTAGTGCTTCTCACATGGATAAAGGCAAGGCGCAGCGTGGTGTAGTCGAGCTGTGTGATGGGCGACAGTATCTGCTGGGTCACTGCTTTCTGGTGCGAGCAGGGGAGCAATCAAGAATGGGGTTTAGGGTTTGATTGATGAGATTGATGCCAGTATCTGCTGTGTCGTGGTTTTTTGGTGTTGGGTGGTGAGGGAGCAGGAGAGAGGGAGAGCGGGAGAGCTGGAGAGCAGGAGAGCAGGGAGGACAATGGGGCAGAACAGAGAGGGTCGACTGCCACACATGGTACAGGACAAGGGCCGACTGCACGGTGCTTATATGTAGCAGTGCGGTGTGGTGCGGTGTGGCGTGGTGGTATGGTGTGGTGTTGTTTGCTGTGGTATGGCATGGTTAGGTGTGGAATGGTGTGATGGAGCGATGCGGTGGTGTAGTGCGGTGGTGCGGTGCGGTGGTGCAGTGCGGTGGTGCGGTGCGGTGGTGCAGTGTGGTGGTGCAGTGCTGCGGTGCAGTGCTGCAGTGCAGTGCTGCAGTGCAGTGATGTGGAGTGGTGTGGAGTGGTGTGGTGCTGTGGTGGGTGGTGCAATGTGGTGCTGTGGTGGAGTGTGGTGGTGTGGTGTGGTGTGGTGTGGTGTGGCGTGGTATGGTGTGGTGCAGTGCGGTACAGTGTGGTGCAGTGCAGTCTTACATAGGTGAGGAGGAAGGAGTGCCAAGCAGACAGATGCCCACTTGCATCCACACGCGCTGTGCCCTCCTCCCCCTCCCCACCTTCCACCTCCTCTCCAACTTCTCCTTCCCCCTCCTTGTCTCCACCCCCAACCTCCCCCTCCCCTGCCCCTCCTTCCCCTCCGCTCCCTCCTCCTCCTCCTCCCCTTCCTCCACCTCCTCCACCTCCTCCCCCACCTCCATCTCCCGCTCCTCCTCCCACGGTCTTCCTACCCAACTGCCTGTTTTCTCCCGTTCCCTTATCACCTCCCTCTCTCCTCACCTTCCCTCTCTCCTCTTCTGCGATTCCCTCGCCCTCCCATTCCATCCCATCATCCTCCCCAGCCTCCCCACCGCTTTCAACCATTCCATCCGCCCATGCAACCACCTCATCATACTCATCAAGCTCGAATGCACCTTCATCACCCTCACTCTCATTACCCTCACTCCCTTCACCCTCACTCTCTTCATCCTCACCACCATAACCCTCACTACTAACGCCACCCTCACAATCACCACAGCTGCTACCATCTCTATTGCTCCTGCTGCCCCCCTTGGTGCTCGGAGTGAAGTGCACCTCCCGTTTCTTTATCAATCCCTCCTTCTGTGCTCCTGCCGCTGCAGCAGCAGGGGACTCGATAGACGCAGAAACAGACTCGGCAGGACCTGCCGCAGACGCAGCAGCAAAAACGGAAGAAGTAGAACGGGTAACAGAACCATACACTGCAGCAGTAGCAGCAGCAGCAGACGCAGGGGAAGGGCAAGAATTGCCCCCACCACCACCACCACCACCACCACCACCACCACCACCACCACCACCACCACCATAACTGGCAGCAGCAGAAGCTCCTCCAACTCTTTTTCCTCCTCCCCCACGCCCCCCTTCAGTCTTATCCAGAACCGGGGAGGGCGGTGTTTCCTTAGTCATATGAACGTAGGCTGTGGGGTGCCAGCTGCCTAGGAACGGAAAGAGCGAGGAGGAGGAGGAGCGGGGGGAGGGCGAGGAGGAGGAGGCGGGGGTTGGCAGCTCGTGGGTTTGGCTGGGGTACGTCGGGAGACGAGCAGTTGAGGGTTTGTTGCAGTGCGAGTCTGATCCGGATACGTGCTCCGGGGATTCACACACAGATGCGAGGGTTGTTTGAGACGTCTCGAAACCCAAGGGCCGCGGCAACGACTGGTTCAGGTGCTCCGGTAGGCCTTTTCTCCAAGACTGCCCGGTCTGCTCCTCTGAGTTCTTTTCCTTTGAGTGTGCATGTTTGACATGTCTTTGTGTTAAGTGCGATGACGCATGGTCGCCGTCCCAGGGCTCTGGTGACTGGTTCAATCGCCCAGACGAGGAGTCTCGTGCAGGGAAGGGGGCAGAATGCGGGAGGCGGAAAGAGGAGGAGAAGGACGGGAGGCGGGAGAGGAAGGACGAGGCGCCGCTGTCGTGTTGGGAGATGCTTCGGGAGCGCTGGGCGATGGAAGCGGTGGTGGAGGGAGTGAGGGGGCCCGAGCGGAAGAGGCGGGTGGAGTGGAAGATGGGACCGGAGAATGTGTGCAAGTGGGACACACGGCGTGAGGACGCATTGAAATCCGCCCCGTGGCGGCGCTGGAAGGCCGAGTCTTGGAGGGCGAGGGTCAGTTGACCTGCCATGGAGGGCGGAAGGGAGGAGAGGGGATTTGGGGATGGGGCGTGAGGATGCTGTGAAAGCTGCACCTTGGCGGTGCTGAAAGGCAGAGTTCTGCATGGCGAGGGTCAGCTGGCTGGAGTGCGTGCAAGGAGGGAGGAGAGGGGGTACGAGGATGAGGGGAGAGGATGCATCAAGAGAAGTAAGAGAAGTGCCGTGGCGGTGCTGAAAGGCAGAGTCCTGAAGGGCGAGGGCCAGCTGGCCTGGAGTGCGTGCATGAGGGGGGTGGTGGGGAGGGGGATGAGGGCGAAGAAGAAGGGTGAAAGAAGTGCCGTGTCGTGTTGGTGCTGGAAGGCCGAGTTGATACCCGTACCTGACACCCGTACCTGACACCCGTAACTGACACCCGTACCTGACACCCGTACCTGACACCCGTACCTGACACCCGTACCTGACACCCGTACCTGACACCCATACCTGATACCCATACCTGAAACAGGCACGGTTTCCATCTCAAGCGACTTTTTGAGTGCCTCCGCCTCCCAGCTTTTCCAGCGCATCACCTGAAAGAATGCTGCAATGTAGTTAGATAAACATGTGATTCATAACAACGATTCACGCATTACCATTCCCTAACTCAAAAAAGTGGTTGACGGAAAGTAGGGAAGGGGGGAGAGCAAGAGAGAGTGGGGCGGATACATATGAACTGTTTGAATGTTAATGGTGGTGCATGATGAAGACGATGAAGAGGTGTCCTTTTAATTAATTCATATGAACCCCTAGACTGATGAGTCGACTAAAGCACTAACCCGTCGGTGGGCAATTATGATGGTGATGCACGAGTAGAGGATGTGGCCCAGGGCGAGGAAGAAGATGAAGAGATGCAGTTGGTGCACTCCCGATGGCGACATGAAGGGCTCTTGACCCTGATGGGGACAAGGGTGAAGGGGAAGTGGGGGACGGGGGTTCGGGGAATGGGGGACAATTAATGCATGCAATGGCTCGGGGTGCGAGGGAAGATGAAGAGATGCACCTGGTGCACGCCTTATGGCAATCTGAAGAGCTCCTAGCCCTGGTGGGACAAGGTTGGGGAAACATGCAGGACTCATGGCATGTCATGACTCATTGCATGACTCATGGGATGGTGCATGGGGTAGCATGGCATGACGCATGGGGTGGCATGGCATGACTCATGAAAGGATTGGCATGATTCACGGGTGGAGTGGAATGGAATGGAATGACAATTTACCGATGGGCATGTGTTCTCTGAGCTGGACAACACCCTCCTGCTCATCTCATGATAGCCACTGTGGTGGTAACCACCATGGTGGAAACCATCATCGAATCCGCGCCGCCCGGATAGCAGCTGCCGCCCATCAGACAGTCCAAGGTGTGCAGTATTGCCGGCTGGTGCAGACTCGGAAGCGGGCGGTGCAGACTTGGAGGCGGGCGGCGCAGATGCAGAGGAGGAGGATGGGGGTTTGCATGGGATGAAGATGGTGGAGCGGGGGATGGTGATGCACCATTGGACTATGAGCGGGTCGATGAGAGCCAGCACAATGGAGATGAATCCCACCAGCATCAGCTCTGGATGAGCCAGGCGGGGGTACACAGATGGGGTGCAAGATGGGAGTGTGAATGAGTCGGACTATGAGTGGGTCGATGCGAGCCAGCACGATGGAGATGAATCCAACCAGCATCAGCTCTGCACGGTTGGAGGCGAATGGCAGGGGTTCAAAGGGATGTGAATGGGGGGGGTTGGGGAGGAGGTTGAAAGGGTTCTACTATGAGCGGGTCGATGAGCGCCAGCACGATGGAGATGAATCCCACCAGCATCAGCTCTGCATGGTTGATGGTTGGGGTTGAATGATAGGGGTTGAAAGGGATGGGGTGAGAGAGAGGAGATGGGGAAGAGGGGGTTGAATGGGTTCGACTGGGGGGGGTTCGACAAGAGAAATGCAGAGCTGAATTCTGATTCAAAAGACACCCTTGTCTGCACGGCTCCTCTCCGTCTTTTATGCTGCGCACCACCCCCACAAGAGCTGCTTTTGAGTCACCTGATAATTCCGAAGCGACAATGACACCCTGGCCTTTGACTGAAAAAAACACCTTGTCGGCCTACTCCTCACCATCTTTAATGCGGTGCCCCACCGTCACGAGAGCCGCTCGCTTCTTCCGAACCAAGAACTGCAGAGACACACAACGGGCATGTGCATCAGGAAGAGATGTAAGAGCACGTGTCATGGAACAGAAGAAAGGCGCATGGCATGGCAGGGAGCAAAATAAAAGAAGGTGCATGGCACGCAAGAGAGCAAAGGTGTATGGCATGGTATGGAAAAGAAGGATGGTGCATGGCATGGTACGGAGCTATGCAAGGGTGCATGGCACGAGGAACACGGCATATGACATGTAATGAGGCCATGTGGCATGGCAGTCAGTATACCCTTTATAAAGAAACGCAATGCTGATGCGTACGAGTGTGAATTCGCTGATGCACATGAAACACGCTGCTGAAAACTTTACTTCCCACTATCAAACCAGAAGATATGCACTCAACCATACGCCGCATTTTACCGCACTGAACCACTCACTCTGTGAATGAGATAAATAAGCCGTTCAAAAAGCAGCGACACGACGATAATAATCGCCGCCACAGTAGCAGTAAAGAAGGTCGGAGTGTACAGCATGGACGAGGACAGATCTACGCTCGACTCGCTGCTAGAGCTTGGGTTTGTTCCTGAACTTTCGCCTCCATTTCCCCCGCTTTCCCCCAGCAATCGGCTGCTCTCTCTAAGAAAACGACGGAGAAGCGTCACGCCGTCGACGCGCGGGAAAAACGGCGACTCAGGCGGCGAGTGGAAAGGCGAATGAGCGGCGAAGTTCGCCATTATGACGATGCTGGGTCGTGCCTCAGGAGGCCTCCGTTAAAAAGCACGCACTTCTTGAGTCGCGACGTACTCGCGGGATTCTGGACTGGTCGCCGTGGCGCGGCTGACGATGAGGCAAATACTGAAGTCGTTAATCCAATTGCAGCGGCTGAGGTAAATCAGTCAAGACGTAGGAGCGTCAGAGCAGAGGTGATGATCCTCAGATATGAACAGTTGAAATTCCCAAGGCTGCCCCTGTCTTGAAAACTAATCGACTAACTCAAATCAACTTGGCTCTGCTCTGTTCTCTGCTCTGTTGTTCTCTGCTCGTCTCTGCTCTTCTCTGATGATTACAACGCTGATACTGTGACGGCATTCCCAAAGCCTGCCATGAAACGATTTGTCGTCGGTTTTAGACTTGAACGAGTGGTGGTGAAGTGGTGTGTCAGAGAGGCCCACTGAAATCTCGGACGTGCACAGAATTGTCTGGACAGGTTCCGTGAGTACAGTACGTCAAAATGCGGCTAAATGAGGCTTGGTACGATCTGTAACGGCCTAATCAGTACTTCGAATGGTTGGGTAGGGTACCTTGCGAAAATGTGTTTTCTACACTCGGACTGCAGTTACAAGGTTTGGCTGCGTAAGGTTGGCGGCAGAATCGACGTGGGTTGAACACTTATCATTGATGTACAGCACAGATACACGATTCATGTACTGTACTGTACTTACACCTGAAGCTTATTACGTAGATGCACGCAAACTTAGCCTCCAAAGCGTATGAAGCGAGTACAAGCTTTTCGCCTGCCTCGCCAAATTCGCCACGGGAAAAAGTGGGACTGTAGTGGACAAGAGAAAAAATGCTGGTAACACTCTCAAAATATCTCCCGAAGGGACGGATGACAGCACCAGAGAAAAGGGTCCAGAATCGTAGCAAATCGTAACGAGATTGTTTTCAACTGTTCTGAACTCCACCTTCTCTCAGTATAATGTTGGGGCAAATTTTTCCAGCACAAATCTTTTGAGTTTTGAGTCGACTCAAATCTCCAGCACAAATCTCTGTCCATCCATCCATGTCCGTCCATCAGGCGTAATACGCATCACACCTACTCTCGTACTTGTTCTAACTGTTTCGCAAGCCTAGAATCCTGTCACAAGAATCCCGCACTTCCATCGCCATGGCAGGCGGCGACATGCTTCCACTCCCGCCGCATTTCCACCCGCTTCAGGAGCTCTGGCCGTCGCTCTTCACCCCCTCCGCGCTCTCGCTGCCATCGCAGCAGCTCGCCGAGTCCCTTTTCGACGTCGCAGGCTTCGCCGTCTTCGCGACGCTCTACGCGTTCGCGATCTCGTTCGTCTTCCCATGCCCCCCGCATCAGCCACTCCTGCTAGGAAAAATGTCTCTGCAAATGAGAAGGTGCGTAGCTTGTCATCACTACGACTAATCCCCACTAATCCCCATTGAGGGACCTCTCAAAAGCCAGACGCTCATGCTAGGCAAACTGTCCCCGATAATGAATCATCACCCACGACATTAAAGGGACCCGGGTTCCTCTTTTCCAAGGCGCCTGAGAAACATTCTCATACTGATTCCCCTTCGTCCCAGGTACATCAATTTCGCAGGGGTGATGGGAGTGCTCTGGCCGCTCGCCCTGATAGCATCCGGTTACTACCTCCGCAGCGCCTCAGGAACAGTCTTTTACTGTCTCCCATTGCTCCCAGATACATCAATTTCGCAGGAGTGATGGGAGTGCTGTGGCCGCTCGCCCTAATAGCATCCGGTTACCACCTCCGCAGCGCCTCAGGAACAGTCTTTTACTGTCTCCCATTGCTCCCAGATACATTAATTTCGCAGGAGTGATGGGAGTGCTGTGGCCGCTCGCCCTAATAGCGTCCGGTTACTACCTGCGAAAGAGCATCCCTGAATTCACGTGGGCTCTCTCACTCGTCCTCCCTGACATGCTGCTGCTCGTCATCCAGGTGCGTATCTGTCTGTGTCTGCCTGTGTGAGGCTGTGTGCGCGTGTGTGGGAATGTCTGCAGTTGTCTAGAACATTCAAGTTCTTCCTCCACTAGGCCATCCCCGAATTCACCTGGGCTCTCTCCCTCGTCCTCTCTGATATGCTGCTGCTCGTCATCCAGGTGCGTATCTGTCTGTGTCTGTGTCTGCCTGTGTGAGGCTGTGTGCGCGTGTGTGGGAATGTCTGCAGTTGTCTAGAACATTCAAGTTCTTCCTCCGCTAGGCCATCCCCGAATTCACCTGGGCTCTCTCCCTCGTCCTCTCTGGTATGCTGCTGCTCGTCATCCAGGTGCGTATCTGTCTGTGTCTGCCTGCCTGTGTGAGGCTGTGTGCGCGTGTGTGGGAATGTCTGCAGTTGTCTAGAACATTCAAGTTCTTCCTCCGCTAGGCCATCCCCGAATTCACCTGGGCTCTCTCCCCTCGTCCTCCCTGATATGCTGCTACTCGTCATTCAGGTGCGTATCTGTCTGTGTCTGCCTGCCTGTGTGAGGCTGTGTGCGCGTGTGTGGGAATGTCTGCAGTTGTCTAGAACATTCAAGTTCTTCCTCCACTAGGCCATCCCCGAATTCACCTGGGCTCTCTCCCTCGTCCTCCCTGATAGGCTGCTGCTCGTCATCCAGGTGCGTATGAGGGTGTGTGAGGGAGTGTCAGTGGGTGTGTGCAGTTATGAGTGCTCTGGCCGCTCGCCCTGGTAGAATCCGGGTACTTTCTCCGGAAGAACATCCCTCCGCAGCCCACCTGTTCACTTTCGACAGCTACTTTCTCCAGAAGAACATCCCTTGTCCTCCCTGACATGCTGCTGCTCGTCATCCAGGTGTGTGCAGGTGGGGGGGGGGAAAGTGGGGGGGTGTGTGGGGGGGGGGGGGGGGGGGGGGGTCAGGTTGGGGGGAGGGTGTATGCGTGTGTGTTGCCAGATATGAGTTGCCGGATATGAATGGGAGAGAGAAGTCGTAGGAATTTCAGTTCCCATCTCTTTGCATGTACTTCGTGTAGGTTCTCTCCCTTCCCCTTCCTGACGTCTCATGGCTTATCATCGTCCACACATGATTTGACTCCTTTTCCATGATGCTGCAAGAGTGTTTTGAGAATTCTCAAAACACTCTGCAGCATCATGATTTGACTCCCTTTCTAGTCGTGAGGGAGTTGCTTTCAAGAATTCTCGAAAGCTTCTCCTCCCTGACGGTCTCACCGCTCATCATTCAGAGACATGATTGATTGATTCTGTTTGTTTTTCTAGCTATGACTCTGAATGATTCAATGCCCTTGCTTTCCACTTTGTCCTTTTCTTATTGTTGGGTTATTCTTGTCTTTTTGGAGCCATCAGATCATCTCAGAGGGAGTCACCGTGGTGACAAAGCAATCACTACCAGTCAAGTAAGTTCACTGCAAGCAGCTCGCCTCAACCAAGCTCCCTCCCTTCCTCTTCTTGCACCCATGCCCTTGCTTCCGAGCCATCAGATCATCTCAGAAAATGTCACCAGGGCGACAAAGCAGTCATTACCGGTCAAGTAAGTTCAATGCAAGCAGCTCGCCCAAGCTCCCTCCCTTCCTGCTTCTGTCCTTCAGACCCACAGTTTCCCTCTTGTTTCCTGCCTTCACAATTGTTCCCACCACAGCACTCTTCCCCAATCACTCATCTTTCCTCTTACCCATCCTCACATCCCCTCTCTAATGCTCGGCGCATGCTCTCACTTTACAAGTGCCTCACCCTTCCTCCTCGTGTGATGAGTCGATTTTTGAGTCGACTCAAAACTCGGCGCATGCTCTCACTTTACAAGTGCCTCACCCTTCCTCCTCGTGTGATGAGTCGATTTTTGAGTCGACTCAAAACTCGGCGCATGCTCTCACTTTACAAGTGCCTCACCCTTCCTCCTCTTTTCCCTTTCCCGTCTCTCGCCACCTCCTCTCTCGCTCTCCCTGGCCCCCTCTCTCTCTTTGGCAAGAGCTCTTGTTCCCCCACTCTACAACGCCCAGCGCACGTTCTCTCTCTCTACAAGTGGCTCACGCACTCTGCTGCTGCCTTCACTCACTTTCTCTCTTCTCCCTTACCCCCTTCTCCTTCCCATATCCAACCCCAACATATTCCGCCTGCAGAGCTCTCGTCCCTCCCCTCTACAACGCCCGGCGCATGTTCTCTCTCTACAAGTGGCTCACTCATTCCGCTGCTGCTGTGCTCCCTCTCATCCTTTCAAGCACTGCAAGGGCGGGCAGTGGCAGCGTGTGGCGCCTGGTGTGGCTGGGAGCGCTGGTAGCATGTGCAGGTGCGTTGGCTGTGCTGCGATGGGTGTTCACTTGTGTGTTTATGGTACTGGGAGCAAGCACTGAAAGGGTAGGCAAGTGCAGCGTGTGGCACCTGGTGTGGCTGGGAGCGCTGGTAGCGTGTGCAGGTGCGTTGCCTGTGCTCCGATGGGTGTTCACTTGTGTGTTTATGGAACTGGGAGCAAGCACTGCTGAGGGCGGGCAGTGGCAGTGTGTGGCGCCTGGTGTGGCTGGGGACGCTGGTAGCGTGTGCAGGTGCGTTAACTGTGGGCGGTGAGAAGGGTGTGACTGGTTCGTTTCTGGTGCTGGGAGCAAGCACAGCAAGGGCGGGCAGCTGTTGTGTCGTGCCTACAAGCCCTGCCTCTCTGCCCACATACCCTCTTCACCCATGCCCTCTTGTGCAGGCAGCTGTGAACAAATTTCTGTGGGGTGGGTGGGCGTACGTGCTCTGCTGCCTGCTTGCCCTGCTGTGTGTGATAAGTCGAGTTTTGAGTCGACTCAAAACTCGACTATCACACACGGCTTTTGAGTCGACTCAAAACTCGACTTATCACACACGGCTTTTGAGTCGACTCAAAACTCAAATTTCTGTGGGGTGGGCGTACGTGCTCTGCTTCCTGCTTGCCTGTCGTCGTGCCTCACACCTATCTGCGTGTCCTTCTTGTGTCTCTTTCTCTCTCCAAACCCCTCCCCCACCCCTCCGCACCCACCACCCTGCTCCCTTTCCCCCAACCCCCCATTCTCACCCCAGCTGGTGTGAATTACTGTTGTGGGCCCACAACGTGTTCTCTGCTTCCTGCTGCCCACCGTCGTGCCTCACACAAACCTACCCACGTGCTCGTGTCTCCCTCTTCTCCCCCCTTCCTCTCCCCCCCTCACCCCAGTGGTGAACTCATATCTTGGGGCCTACAACGTGTTCTGCTTCCTGCTGCCCGCCGTCGTGCCTACTGCCTCAATGAGCCACTATGCCCCACCACCCTCAACCCCTCCCACACCCTCAACCCCTCCTCACCACCACACCCTCTCCTCGCCTCCCCTCCTTTCCCCCACTCAGCGGTGAACTACCTTCTGTGAGCATACAACATATCTGCTTCCTGCTGCCCACCGTCGTGCCTCGCACCTATCTGTGTGTCCCTGCTTGTGTTTCCCTCTCTCCAAACCCATCCGCCCACTCTTCTCCCCATCCGCCCTCCTCTACGCAGCTGTGAAACTACCTGCTGTGGGCGTACAACATCTTCTGCTTCCTGCTGCCCACCGTCGTCGCCTCGCACCTATCTGTGTGTCCTGCTTGTGTTTCCCTCTCTCACAAACCCCTCCCCCCACCCTTCTCCCCATCCGCCCTCCTCTACGCAGCTGTGAACTACCTGCTGTGGGCGTACAACATCTTCTGCTTCCTGCTGCCCACCGTTGTGCCTCACAGACACCTATCCATTTTGCTTGCTCCTGTCTCCCTCTACTCCCCCTCACCTCCTCTCCTCCAACTCCCAGCTGTGAACTACCTGCTGTGGGCTACAACATCTTCTGCTTCCTGCTGCCCACCGTTGTGCCTCACAGACACCTATCCACTTGCTCCTGTCCCCTCTCCCCCTCACCTCCTCTCCTCCAACTCCCAGCTGTGAATTACCTGCTGTGGGCGTACAACATCTTCTGCTTCCTGCTGCCCACCGTCGTGCCTCGCATCTTCGAGCAGGACATTACATCGCGCGCAGCGGCTAGTGGCACAGATAGAGTGGAAGCAGTGGGTGGTAGCAGCGGTGGTAAAGGAAAGAAAGGTGGAAAGAGTCTCTAGAAGCTCTGGATGTACCGTAAGACTACGGTTATTGAGTTGCTTAGGATATAAGGTGTACAGTACTTATAAAGCTTGTAAGGTAAATGCCTAAAGTGGTGGTGGGACACAGTACTTGCACGCAACACTGCCGCAAGTGTAACAGCAAGCTTCCTCCCAGCTCCAGTTTCGTACCCAGGGTGGCATAATTGCTTCCATACCAATTTCTATGTAGAGCAAAAAAAAAGTTATTTACTGTACACTGCGAGCTTGTACAATGTCTTGGTTTTTATGTAGAGCAAAAAGGAGTTATGTACATTGCATTGCCCAGCTTGTACAATTTCTGTCTGAACAGGGTAGGTACGGTACCGTACATACAAATCCACTCTACTCCATCTCGCCCCCCCCTCCACTCCATTACAATCCACCCCACTCCATTACAGTCCACACATTCTACACTCCCTCCCCCTACGGCCCTGAGACCCTGGGCCTGAGACCCAGGACCAACTCAACCCACCATCCCCCTTCCCCTTTCCAGGGGACAGGATCACATACTCCCCCTCCCTAGTGCCCCGCAGCTTCTCCGCCAAAGCTTCATCCACGTTAAAAGCAGCCTTCAGTACAGCGGTAGGCAGTGCACTGTAGACTGAGTTACCGCCAGCTAGAAAACCAGGCTTGGGTTTGGACTTGGGGGAGAGAGCGACGTACTCTAAGCCCTCCCCTGAAGCTTCCTGTTATGGGAGGACAGAGCAGAAAAGGAGTGGGAGGCGGGATGAAGAGGGGGGAAGAAGGGTGGAGGCATGCTAGGGTGATGCGTTACTCTTTCAACACATAACAATATGAGCGAAAACAGTTTTGAGTCGACTCAAAACGAAAGCACAGTGGAGGCATGTTAGGGTGATGTGTGACTCTGCCAACGCGTTACTCACAACAACATGGGCGGAAACAACGACACATCTCTCACTGCCACTACTCCTCACACGACAAGAGCGTTACCATCTTACCGTCACTGCGTTACTCACAACAGCATGAGCGAAAGCAGCCGGTACAACCACCACATCTCCCGCGTTCACACGCTTCCTCAGCGCCTTCCTGCCGTCCGGATAGGCTATCTCAAACCGCCCACTGCCACGTGTCACAAAGTGGACGGCTGCTGAGTTGGACAGCCAACGAGGAGCCGCCATCGCATTGGGCTGAGGGAAGGAGGAGGGAGGGAGGGGGGAAACAAGGGAAGGAAGTTGTTATCAATCAAACAATTATGGGAAAAAACAAGTGGAATTTTTAGAAAAGAAAGCATTGCCACATACTAACCCTTCAGACACAGCACGAACTGTCTCTCTTTCCCCCTCCTTTCATACCCTCCATTACTCACCAGGAGATCTATGCGAGCAGCAGAAACGCCCAGGTGTTGAAACACAGGCAGCTTAAATCCATCAGCAGTAGTCAACGTGCCGCCCCCGGGCGTCTCGATACTAGCCTGCTCCTCTATAAGGTTGTACACGAAATCCCCAAACGCTACAGTGCCTTCTGAGTTATCAGTGGCAGACGCAGCTGAGGTGCCTTCATCAGCATCAGGATCACCAGATACGACCTTCCCCGGGTCGACCTTCGCAATGGCTATATCCTTCTGCCCCTGAAGCAGCTGTGCCACGTCTGCTTCCTTCACGCCCCATGCCTTCGCCAGCACTCGGTGGCTGTGCGGTGGGGAGGCAAAAGGGAAGAGGAGGGGAGAACGAGCAGTGGAGGATGAAGGAAAGCAGCAGCTATGTCATGTCTCTTCTACCACCTGACATCTACCTGAGCCACCTGAATTTACCTGAGCGCACCTGAAATCCACCTGAGCGCACCTGAAATCCACCTGAGCGCACCTGAAATCACCTGAGCGCACCTGAAGCCATGGAGAATGCCGCCAAACTTCTCCTTCTGAGCGCCCACCAGGCTGAACGCCGTGTACCGCCCACGGTGGGCCTCCTTGGACGTATCTGGCATGTAGGGGGTTAGATTGGCAGGTACAGTCGACATTCACAATGAAGTTTTCAAAAAGACAGGTCAGCAGTTCAACGCAGGTCAGCAAATCAGTCACGACATGTCAGCACATAGAAAAGACACGTCAGCATACCAGCAATGGATATGATTCGCAGAGGCTCCTTGCCATCGTTCCAGATCCACCTGCCCCAGCCTCGTGGGAACGCAAATGCATCGCCTTTGCGAAGCCTCCTGTAAAGGGTACACAGACATATGTATAAGAAAGGAAAGTACAAAACAGTAGAACGTGGTATCATGTACTTCATTTTTTCATCACATGTAGGACATCACGTCACGTCACAGCACAGTACACATCAGCGCACATCACACCACACCACATCTGCTCACGCACCTCACATTGGTGCGAATCCCCTCCGGGCTGATAAGCCCTGCCCGAGCTTCGCCCTCCACCACATAGGACACCTGTTGCAGAGAAATGGGCATGCACGGAAACTAAACTTCATGCATGGAAAGCAGGAAATACCATGCACGGTAACCAATGTTAAACATGCATGGTATGTATGCATGTGCAACTTGGTATGTCATGCATGGTATGTATGCATGTGCAACTTGGTATGTCATGCATGGTATGTATGCATGTGCAACTTAGTATGTCATGCATGATATACCTGGAGTACAGTACATGCGAAGAGCCATAGAATTTGGCTGTGCTTGTGAGTGACTCACGAATGGGCAGAACATGGGCGAAACTTGGAACGGCAAAGGGTGCCAACATACCTCCTCGGAACGGTAAAGGTTGCCAACATACCTCCTCGGAACGGTAAAGGTTGTCAACATACCTCCTCGGAACGGTAAAGGTTGCCAACACACCTCCTCGGAACGGTAGAGGTTGCCAACATACCTCTTCGGAACGGCAAAGGTTGCCAACATACCTCCTCATCATTGGAATACATGGGAAGAGCCATGGACTCAGGTTCGATCGTCATCACAGCCGCGCTGACATCTGCGTCCTGCCATGGGCAGTGGTTGTGGTTGTGGTTAAAGATAACAGCATCACACCTCTTCATCATTGGAATACATGGGCAGGGCCATGGACTGTGGCTCTATTGTCATCACAGCCGCGCTGACATCCGCGTCCTGCCATGGGCAGTGGTTGATTGGAGGCAGGGGTTATGTGACTAAAACTAGGGGGGAACTCATCACAAGAACAGCACAGTGGGTAGGGAGTCAACCAAAAGGCGCTGACGCCCAGTCCTGCCATCACTGGTTGTGGCTGGTCGAAAGCAAGGGAGGGAGTTGTATGAGAACAGCACAGCACTGCAGGACGGTGGTAACCACCAGCACAGCCGCGCTCACTTACAGTGGTTTCAGCCCAGGTTCTCAGCCAGGCTCCGATCCGCCCTGCAGTAGCTACCTTCACCTGCGGCCTCCTTGCAAGAAACTCTCTCTGGCCTTGTCCTTCCTTGTCCATCCCGCATTACACCCCCTCACCCTCACAGCACATACATATGCACCCACCCACACACAAACACACCTCCAGTCGTTTCAGCCCAGCGCCCCAGACTTCAATCCGTCCTCCACCGGTTGCCACCTCCACCTGTGGTCTCCCTGCAAGAAACTCCCTAGCCTTGTCCGCCCCTCCCCCATCCTCCTCAGCGTTCCTTCCCAGACCTTGCCCGAGCTTTGTTCCCAGGCTCGACATCAGAGGCCCGACGCCCAGCCAGCGCCAGCCTTGGTGAAGCCGAGCTGCAGCACCAACGGAAAGCCAACCCAGAGGCTCAGGTTCGGCGACAGGCGTGGTAAGCTCTGGTTCGGCAGCAGGTGTGGTGGTAGACTCAGGTTCGGCAGCAGGTGTGGTGGTAGACTCAGGTTCGGCAGCAGGTGACATGGCATGAGCGGTAAGCATGGGAGAAGGGGAGGGTAGTGGAGGAAGGAGGAGGAGGGCAGAGGAGGGAGAGGAGGAGGGCGGAGGTAGGGAGTAGTAGCAGCGGTGGGAGCTTGAAGGGAGAGAGGCGAAGCAGCGCCATGGTTGCTTATAGCAATCGCCCAAAGGTATCAAGGTAGGAAGATTACCAGCTTGAATTTCGTTTCGCTCGGGAGGAAACCACGTGAGTGAGAATACAACGCCGCTGGAAATTTTCTGTATACGGGAAAGGAGAGAAGCAGAAGCACCGTAGGAACGAACCGAGCTGGAGGACCGAGACACGCCAGAGGAGTGCGGGTGGAGCTGACGGAATGAGCAGCAGCGAGAGGGGTAGGAGTGCTGAAATTGAGGGCGAGAGAAAAGCGAGAGGGAGGAGAAAGCGGAGGGGTGGAGAAGAGGAGGAGGAGGAGGAGAGCGCGGTTGGAGGAATCAGCAGCAGAAACATCATCCCTGGCATGGCGGCGCGAGAAGCCAGAATGGGAATGGCGACGCGAGAGATGCCAGAAAGGGAGAAATCGACTCCATCGTTTCCTTCCATCCTTTCGGAATTTGCATGGGCACCGGGGGTCTGCATGCATGTCGAGAGCGCGTCAACTAAGCATGTCAAGACGTGAGATGCATCAAGGCGTCTCGAGGCGTGCTGAGGGGTGTCGAGGCATCTCCTGCCCTGTTGAAGAATGTCCAATGTCCAGTTGGCGCGCCGTGCCATGTCAGCAAGCTTTCAAGACCGTCAACATGAGGTGACTTGCTCTGAAGGTCGCTGACTGCTGATAATGGAAAACACATACTGTATTGTCCGAGACATGAAATCTTGCACATCCGTAGTTCCTGAGATCCGACGGATTATACGCCTCGGACCAAAGCCCTAATTCGAAAAACGAGACGTATTCGGTGTGTAGATATTGCGACGTTTTACATTCCCGCAACTGGTCATGTGAATCTTACACAATCATATTCCTCTCGCAATGTGCGAGGAAGTAATGAGCCCAGTCGCGTGACAGATCTCCGAATAGTTGCAGGGTATATGCACTCGATATTGCAACATCGCCCTTCACCACCTAGAGCTAATACGTTTTCACATTATATTTCACAGTAAAGAAGCCAATGGAAGTTTCCAGAAACTCTTGCACTATTGGCAAGACTGTACAAGAACACAAGCTATTTCACAGCCCACCCCCAAATGCTACGCTTCAGCCCACTCAAGCTACCAAAAACATCTCGTCCGCCTTGGAAGTTAGCCGAAAGGTTTCGAGGTTAGGGCCTCTCCCAAACTTCGAAGCCCGTTCTGCTAGACTCAAAAGCGACTGACCGCAAAACTCGCTCTGAAGGCGCTTAGAACCCATAGGGAGTGTCGATGATGCTGAAATCAACGTCCACGTCCTCATCCTCCGCAGAGAACGCCCTGGGCTTGGGCTGGTGGCCCTTGGGCGGCAGGATGACGTACTCGTGCTGGCGGGTGCTGCGCAACTTCTCGATCAGCTTCTCGTCCGCGTTAAAAGCCGCCTGCTGGATGGCGCGCGGCAGGAAGCGGTAGACGGAGTTGGCCCCCGCGAGGAAGCCCACCTGCGGGCGCGACTTGGTGATGAGCGCGATGTACTCGATGCCGTTGCCCGAGGCGAGCTGGGGGGGGTGGGGCGGCGGGGGGGAAGAAACGGGGGGAGCGAACAAGAGCGGTAGACGGAGTTGACCCCCGCGAGGAAGCCGAACTGCGGGCGCGACTTGGTGATGAGCGCGATGGATGAGCTGGTGTGGGAACGATTGGGGGGCACAAAATCAATACTAGCGGGAGGAGCGATGGGAGCGTGGGCGCAAATCACAATAGCATGATAAAGCGTGACGCAATAGGATGGTATAGAATCTTTCGAGCAAAAAACGGAATTACCGTGGCGTGCGGGAGGCCGGGCGGGATGACGATCAGCTCGCCCTGCTTCACGTCGCGCCGCACCGCGGTGCGCCCATCGGAGTGGGTCATCTCGAACCGCCCCTGCCCGTTCAGCACGTAGATCAGCGCCGCGCTGTTAGCCAGCCAATGCGGCGCCGCAAGCGCGTTCTGCTCCAGCTCGAATCGCGCAGCCGAGAACCCAACCTTGCGGAACATCGGAAGCTTCCAGCCACTCGCCCAGGTCACGCGGCCCGCGCCCTCGCGCTCAATATCCGCCTCGTTCTCAATCAAATTGTACGAGAAGTCGCCGAAGATGTTCTCCCCGGAGCGCGCATTGAGAGCGTCGATCGCGGCGTTAAGTGCGTCGACCTGGCTCTCTCTGTTGGACCTTCACAAAGGCGGTTTCCTTCTGCCCCTGCAGCAGCTGCTTCACGTCGTTCTCCTCCACGTTCCACGCGCGTGCGAGCAGATCGGAGCTGAAAATGGGGCGGGGTAAGTGAGGATACAAGGTTAAAAGGTGCAGAGCCACTGATAGGGGTAGGTAGCGCGAGACAGAAAAAAAACGCACAACCGCAAACGAGCGAAACCGTCACATGATTTCTTCAGTCGCACCTGAAGCCGTGCAGGATACCACCGCTCTGCTCCTTCTGCGCGCCGATGAGGTGGAACGACGTGTACTGGCCGCGCTGCGGGCCCTTGGAGGTGTCGGCCATGGCGACCGCGCGGAACGGCTGGTTGCCGCTGTTCCACGCCCAGTGAGCCCACCCGCGCGGGTGGATGTACGCGTCGCCCTTGCGCAGCCGGCGCATGTTGGTGGGCATGCCGAGCGGGGTGACGAGCCCGACGCACGCCTCGCCCTCCACCACGTAGTTGATCTTCGCCGAGTCGGTGTAGTGCGGCAGCGCCAGGGACTGGCTCTCGATGGTCACGAGAGCAGCGCCGATGTCCGCATCCTGACAAACCCAAGGGTGAACAGTTACAGAAACGTGATCGAAGAACGGCGAAATTCAAATGAGGTTGTGAAAAGCGTGGAATAAAACGGAAGGGAAATCGCAGAAACAGAAAGTAAACAAAGACCGTACCTGAAGCTGCTTGAAGTCGGGGCTCCACACTTCCACGCGTCCGCCGCTGCTCCTGAACGCCTCCTGGGGCTGCCCGGGGATGAACTCCTTCTCGTCGTTGGCGGGGGAGCCATAGCGCGCCGAGGCGCACCCCACCAGGCAGAACGCGAGCAACGCTAGCACCAACGCGCGACCCATGACGACAGCTCGCTGGCACGAGGTTCCGAATCGAGGGATCGAGTACAGGCTTGCCAAGAAACGCGCAAGGCGAGGGGAGAGAGCGAGAGAGCCGGAAGACGGGACCGGAAGAAAGCTCAAAGAACCGCACACACTGAAGATGAGGAAGCACGCTCGACTTATATAGATGCACCGTGGGGGCGAGGCGGCTGGAGCGCAGGGGGTAAGCTGCAACGAGCGTTGATGGCTAGCTGCTGGGAGCGCTGGGAACAAGTTGCGATGGAAGCTGCTGCGCTGCGTTACGCGCCCACTTGTTCGAACGGAGCGCGCTCTCATCCCCTCGAGCCGCCTCGAAAGTGGCGGAGGAGTAATTCTTCTTTGTACGCTCTACATGGCGGCTCGCAACGACTCGGGAATCCATCCAGCACGAAACATCACTTGACGCCTGATGGTAGAGCGGTGCACACATGGCCTAGTGCCTGCCCAGTGTTGCACATGGCATAGGATGGCATGGCATTCCATGGTGCCTGCTACCGCACCATCGCATGGCATTGACCCTGATAACCGCGGTGCATGCAACTTTCCGTGATTTTCCACTTGTTGCGCGCATGCTGCAAGTCTAGATCGCCATGTGACGGAGAGCTATGTGTCTTACTTTCGTTCGCGACCATGGTCTTCATGACGAACGATGGAGCCACTGCAATTCGTTACACGAGTGGAAGTTAGAGATAGTGCTTCCGAAGGGTGAGGCAGACGGGTATTACGAGGACGGGTGTTCCGAGGTAGACGGCAGCGCGCTTTCTGTCTGATGGAACAGGTGTGGATCTCTGAACTGAAGGCATACACCATGCAACGGTCCTCCTAGGTATCCTGTTTCCTAAAAGGCCCCTAAACGACAGCCACGTCCTGCTTGTTTTGAATGTTGTCGAAACCTCGTTGTGGCGAACGCTCACAGATGGATAGACGGATAACTCGAAGCCCACGACAATTCTGGACCTGCAATCTGGGTAAGGGGCGACCGCATCAGTCCATGCAATGCAATACGTGCAGGCCGCACGAGCATAATCCTGTGCATATTTCTAGGCATGTGAGGTGAGGGCGATGCAGTTGGAATTTCTCCTGCTGAGAATGCGCGATTCGACTCCTTCGTCAATCTTCGCCTAAATTAATGATCTCATGCCGATAACGTGCTTGCGTGGACTGGATGTCAGAGGCAGCGGTTGCAACTTATTGGCCGCCGAGTGCGAAGACCGCCGAGTGCGAAGACCGCCGAGTGCGGGTCATTGACCTACCTGCAGTTGGCGCGCGATAGGCCATAACTCTTTCACTACAATATTACCAATTTTGGAAGGTAATATGAGATCATGTGGTTGTAAAACACGAAATATTGTACAGAAGTGTCATATTTGCAAAGATTCTCATTGCCGGTTAAAACTACATAAGTTGTCGAAGGGCTAACAATACAGAAAATACAACTTTTCTACCTAAACGTGTCAGGACAGGTTGAAACAAAGCCATTTTGAAGAACTTCAAGTATCAATCACATCACTCTAGCATAGGAGCCTCAAACCAAGCATGTTGTATTTGAACTTTCAACTCCACATGCTTCAGTTCAGTCACACCTGTCAACATTCTCGTTACTAGTGACATGGGATGGGGATGGAGAAACACATGCAGAAGGAAAATGGGCCAACTAAATCCAGAACATTTGGTTGGGAAACAACCAAGAAGCATCTTCCACGAGTGCGTATACCATGAAAAATAAAGGCTACTATTTGTTCTTTATTTATTTATTCAGTCCACTTTCCTCTCGCACTCACAAGGTGTGCTGGGCCACAATCACAAACAAAAAGCCCCCACTCAGTGCAAGCGCGGTCGGCCTCTCTCCGAGGCCTCTCCATCTGCCACACGTGGTGTTTGCGGGGTGATGGGAGATGCGGGATGGAAGATAGAGATGGAAATGGAAGATGGGGGGTGCGATGGAAGCCGACATCGGAAATGGGGGATGGGGGAGTGGGCGGTGAGAGATGGCCTCAGAAAGGTCTCGGGAAGTTAAAGCGGCCTTTAAACCCTGAACCCTGAACCATCCCTCAACTTGTTGATCGAACTTACCATTGCAGCACCAGCCTCCTCCCCCACATACTCCACCTCCACGTCCTCCTCTTCCTCCTCATCCCCCCTGCTCCCCTGCTCTCCAGATATACCCTTTTCAAGACACCTGAATTTGATCAGCACACTCACCATTTCCATTGCGGCACCGGCGTCCTCCCCACATATTCCACCTCCACCTCCTCTTCCTCCTCATCACCCCCTGCTCCCCCACCACAGCAGCAAGCGACGCGCCCTTGACCTTGACGAGGTGCCAGAGGTGGCCCTGAGTGTCATACACCATTGATGGACGCAGCTCCCACGGCCGCACCTGCTTCTGCCCCATCTCCCCGTACCCTAGCCAAGGGGAGAAGGGGGGGCGGGGAAGAGGAGCAGGGGGAGAGCAGGGGGAGAAGCAGCGGCAAGGGGAAGGGTTGGGAGCAGGAAGGGGAGAGAGGGAAGAGAGGAGTGGCAGTAAGCAGCAAGCGACGCGCCCCTGATCTTGACGTGGTGCCAGAGGTGGCCCTGTGTGTCATACACCATTGACGGGCGTAATTCCCACGGCCGCACCTGCTTCTGCCCCATCTCCCTGTACCCTAGCCAAGGGAGAAGGGGGGGCGGGAAGGAAGAGGAGCAGGGGGAGGAGCAGGGGGGAGAGCAGGGGGAGAAGCAGCGGCAACGGGAAGGGTGGGAGCAGGAAGGGGAGAGAGGGAAGAGAGGAGTGGCAGTAAGCAGCAAGCGACGCGCCCCTGATCTTGACGAGGTGCCAGAGGTGGCCCTGTGTGTCATACACCATTGACGGGCGTAACCCCACGGCCGCACCTGCTTCTGCCCCATCTCCCGTACCCTGGCACCACAGAAGAGAGGGAAGGGGAGGGCGGGAGTGAAGGGGGGCATGGCGACTGACCGTCAAAGGTGAGCAAGCAGCAGCTCAATGGGGGGGGGGAGCAACATGGAGTTTCCACATGGCGACATGTCCTTTGAAAGGATAAAAAGATACTCTTGAGCTGTGGATTATGGCGCCTAAACAATAGAGATGTGGACATGGCGACTGACTAACCTACAGAAAAGTGTGGAGGAAAGTACCTGGAAACTCCACAGTGAAGCCTGTGATTTTGGGTCCCTGTGCGTCCACTGCCGTGACGACCCCCTCCCACCACCTGTGTTGCCGCGAGGGGGATAAGGGGAGAGGGGGAAGTGAAATGAGAGGTGGAGGGGAAGAGAGCGAGAGGGGTGAGAGGGGAAGATAGAGAGTGGGAGAGGAAAGATAGAGAGGGGGTGAGGGAAGGGGAGAGAAAGACCACATGCGTTGACCCTCACCCCCACAGCCACACCCTCCCCCTCATGACAGCTCTGCGCCGCTATGTACAAATTCTACGCATAAATCAAAAGTTAATCACCCCGCCACTCACCCGTCATCACCCACGCATCGACTCTGTCCCCCACAGCCCACACGCGCCCATCGCCACCCGCCGGCGCCTCCCCCTCTCCCTCCCCGGCCGCAGCCGCCTCTCCAGCTGCGCGCCCTTCCTCACGCGTTTAGAATATAGGGTTGACTCAGAAAGAACTCACCCGTCGTCCACCCATGCGTCGACTCTGTCCCCCACGGCCCACACGCGCCCATCGCCACCCTCCGCCGCCTCCCCTCTCCCTCCCGGGCCTCAGCCGCCTCTCCGGCTGCGCGCCCTCCTCTGGGGAGCTGTCGGCACGCCAGAGACGAAGCGAGAGGAGTCGCTTGCAGAGGGGGAGGGCGGGACCAGCCCCCACCCACCTCCAACTGGTGGTGCCTGTTTGGGAAGAATGAAGGAAAAAAGGTAGGGGGGAATAGGAAGAGGAGCGCAGAGGTTGGGCCAGGTGAATTGAAAAAAGGGCCTTAGCGCCTTCAGCCGCCTCTCAGCCGCTCTCAAGCCGCCTCTCAGACGCCTCTCAGCCGCCTCCCGCAGCCGCCTCTCAGACGCCTCTCAGACGCCTTCAGACACCTCTCAGACGCCTCTCAGAACGCCTCTCAGACGCCTCTCAGCCGCCTCTCAGCCGCCTCTCAGACGCCTCTCAGCCGCCTCTCAGACGCCTCTCAGCCGCCTCTCAGGCACCTCTCCGGCTGCGAGCGCCCTCCTCTGGGGGGGCCGAAGGTACGCAGAGACGAAGCGGGAAGCGTCACTTGCAGCAGGCGAGGGCAGGACCAGCCCCACCCACTCCTCCAACTGG